GGAACCAGCCGGGCAGGCGCCCAAAGCGGGTTGAAGGGGTGCGGCGCTGGGCCGGCTTTTAGGGACCCAGAGCGCCCTTTCGGGCCGCGGCGCAGCGATGGTGATCGCCGTCCAGATTCTGCTGAGCGGCTTCCTGCTGGTGTCAGGTGAGACGTCTGCGGAGCAGCGCGAGTGGGTCCCCAGGTGCGGGCTGGTGGGGGCGCTGCATGCCTCCTCAGCCATGCTGTCTGCCCAGACCACATCCGGACTCCAGTTGCTCTGGGAAATCCGGAGCCCTGTGAGACATGCTTGGCTTCTGATGTCGGTGTTAAGCGCCCCTATTCTGTCCCCATACCCGCAGTCGACATCCAGCTCCTCGCGACCCTCCGTCAGGTTTCCGAGCAGTAAATCTTCACAGGTGGGTCTTCTCCCGCAGAGCTGGCAGTCGAACAACCCAGCTTCCAGTTAGCGCTCAGCCTGTAACCCCACCTCGCCAGGAGAGCCCCGTGGGAGTTCTGAAAGTGCCAAAGTGAGGAATCGGGCCGCTGAGGGCTTCCCCGAAGCTAATTTGAGGCTATGCCGATGCCACTGCTCTCAACTCTGAGTGATAAGAAAGCCCCAACCCACAGCCAGATCCTGACCATCTGAACTTCACTCTCCTCTGGCAGGGCCCCCCGCTGATGGAGCCTCATTCTTGAAATGCTGGAAGCGCCCCACTGTCGCTGTCTAGCATACCTGGGCTGGTTCAGGAACAAAGAGCTCTGGTGGCCTCTTGGAGGAGGAGTTGCACTAACAACCCGCGGCACACGCCGCTCCGTTCTTACGAGGCATTCTGTGAAAGAGAGATGGAGCATCTCCCTTGGAATTTACAGCCTGAAAAAAACCCTCTGGAGGGCCAGCTAAGGGTCAGTTCCAAATTGAGTACAGGCCTACTTTGGGTATACTGTTAGGACATCATGCTTGGAAAAGTGGAGGGTTGGTGGGAAAAAAGTCCACTCTCAGTGAGATAGAGTGACACATTGCCTGGAACAGACATTGTAAGGATGAGTAGGGTAGGGAAGGGTTTCCTTTCTTTTGTACTCAAGACTGCTATGAGTCTGAGTTCGCCAGCACCTAACAACGGTACAAGCTGCTAGACGGAACTCAAAATGCTCCGCCTCATCTTCACACCCCTTCCTCAAACATCTGCTCATTTTCTCTGCACTTCTGCCACTCATCTTCCTGGCCGGAGTGTCTGTATTTCCATTTTCTTACCCTCCTCATTCAGTTCTCAAATTCCTGAATCAGAATTTTGCCCTTCTACAACCGTACAACTTCGGAGTTTTCAATCAAGTAAAACATTTTCTGCCCTCCAGGAATGACTTGTCTTGCTTTTCTAGTGTATGCTTCCTTTGGATTCCAAAATACCACTTTCTTGCCATATGCAGACTCTTCTTCCTACTTGGAATTCATCCTCCTTTTCTTCCAAACCAGTTGTCATGGAATCCGTTTCCACTCACAGGATCCCATCAGAACCTTATTCCACAAAGTTTTCAGTAGCTGGTTTTTCATGAGTAGATTGCCAGATGGTTTTTTTTCTCACAGTGCCTTCAAGTAAACACAAACTTCCAACCTTTCAAGCAGCAGCTAAATGTGTTGTTTTCACCACCCAGGGACTACCCTCCTCTACCACATTTCTAAATACAGTTCTCCCCTGTTTACCAAGAATGGCTCAATAAGAAGTTAATTCTAAGTGAGTGGAATACCTCCCTTTTTTATGTTTCCATTATTACTGCCTTTATTATCAATGAGTTTTTTATAATCTGTAAGTTTGATCTTTATTGTCTTTAGAGGTTGGAAACATTACATATAAACATGTACAACGGAACACCTGAGAATAATAAATCAATAAATTACACATTGCAGCATTGCACATAGTACATGTTGCTAACGATTAGATATACAAGAGACCAGATGGTCATAAGTACTTAAGTAATTGTCTAGCAAGCAGAAAAATGGGACATGAAGGTACAGGGCCATGAGCATCTCTCTAAAAGGGCCAGAGAGAGTGAGACAAGCACAGCTCTTCACTACCCCAAAGCAGAAAGCAAATAAAGAGCTGGTAGCCCAGCCCCATGGTGCCTCTAAGAGCCACAGCAGCAGCAAAAGATTCATTCATTGATTGTTGACTCACAGACTTGATTCACAGTTGTGGTACCAAGAATGAAGTTTATTAGGAAAATAAGTTGGAGAGTGGAGGAGGTAAAAAAATATCACCCAATGCAAATCCCAATTGACATATTTCAGCTAACAGATGTTGCCCTGGACATGCTCACAAAGTTGTGCCAAGAAATCTGGAGAACAACCACTTGGCAACTGACTGGAAGAGATCTATATGTGTTCCCGTCCCAAAGAAGGGTGACCCAACTGAGTGTGGAAACTACAGAACAATATCATTGATTTCACATGCAAGCAAGATTCTACTGAAGATTATCCAAAAACGACTGGAAGAGCACATCAGCAGAGAACTGCTGGAAGTCCAGGCTGGGTTTAGAAGGGGTCGTGGCAGTAGGGAAATTGTAGCTAATGTTAGATGGATCTTAGCTGAAAGCAGGGAAGACCAGAGGAATGCATATCTGTGTTTCATTGGCTATGCAAAGGCGTTTGACTGTGTGGATCATAATAAACTGTGGCTGACTCAGAGAAGAATGGGAATACCGGAATACTTGATCATGCTAATGAGAAAGCTATACTTGGACCAAGAGGCAGTCGTCAGAACAGAGCAAGGAAACACTGCATGGTTCAAAATTGGGAAGGGCATACACCAGGGATGCGTCCTGTCTCCACAACTTTTCAACCTGTGTGCAGAACAGATTATCTGGGAGGCTGGGCTCTATGAGCAGAAATGTGGGTTCAAGATTGGTGGAAGATCTATCAACAATCTACGATACGCAGATGATACAACCCTGCTTGCTGAAACTGAGGAGGACCTGAAGGATTGAGGCTCAATGTCAAGAAGACAAAGATTCTCACCACTGGACCAATTGGCAGCATCAGGATGGATGACGAAGAGATTGAGGTTGTTCACAGCTTCAGTTTGCTTGACTCCACAGTCAACACTCTCGGCACCAGCAGACAGGAAATTAGAAGACGTATTGCCATGGGAAAATCTGCTGTTAGGGACCTCTCCAAAGTACTGAAGAGCAACGGTGTCCCTTTGGAGACCAAGGTGAGTCTGATAAAGGCCATGGTCTTTGCTATCACTTGTTATGCATCAGAGAGTTGGACAGTGGCTAAAGAAGATAGAAGGAGAATTGATGCCTTTGAGCTTTGGTGCTGGAGAAGTGTATTGAGGGTACCATGGACTGCTAAGAAAACAAACAGATTCATCCTGGAAAGGGTCAAACCAGGCTGCTCCTTGGAGGCAAGGATTCTGAGGCTCCGTCTAACATACTTTGGACATGTTGCAAGGAGGGACAGGTCCTTGGAGAGAGACTGGAGGGACAGCACAGAAGGGGAAGGCCCCCATGAGGTGGATTGATTCAGTGACTGGGGTAATCAGGATGGGTGTGTCAGAGACGGTGTGATTGGCACAAGACAGAGCAGAGTTTAGGGCTGTTGTACATAGGGTCGCTATGAGTCACAAGCGACTCGACGGTGCATAACAACAACAACAAGAACAATGCAAATCCAGGTTTTGGTCCAGCAGTTCCAAGATGTAATTCCTCAATTAGTCCAGTCTCCGGTTTTAGCTCAGCAACACAAATTCAAGAAGCCTCTGATTGATCTCCCTGCTCATCCTGGAGTCTGTCTCCTCAACTCAAACCAGCTTTCCTGGCTGCTGAGAGGATTTGAGAAGAGGTGGGAAGGCTAGGCTCAGTGCTGCTTTAGGACTAGCTGCTCCCGTGTCCTGCCCACCTCAGGCTCACTGGTGGTGGACTGAACTCTTTTCCAGGTTCCATGCAATTGAAAGGTTCTTCCAAGGTTTTGCTTATACCCTCCCTCCTTTTTAAAAATTCTATCCTTAGTGTTGTACTGGTCTGCAATACCTCAGAGTTGAAAGGATACCCTTCCCCGGGGTGGGGGGGTGGGGGCTATGTCTGCCTCTTCTGCCAGGCAGTCACCTTCCTTCCCTGCACAGCCTCTTCCTTTTGGCTTGATTTGGACCACAGCCCTCTCTTACCCAGGCTTTACTGCTCTAGAAAACAGATGTCAGTTTAAAAAATTATTAATCCCTTCCCAGCACACAGAGTCAGGGAGGAAACAAGCCAGAATTTAGTTGCCCAGCACTAGCTCCACCTGTTCCTAGAGACCAGCCTCCCTCCATCCCATCTAGTCCTAGAAATCAATCTTTTTGGCTCATTTTGTATTAGGTCGTACATCATTAAATACCTAAAAGTAAAGATGGGGTTGGAGGTGGGAGGAGGCGGGAAGAAGCCTCTGGTTTCCTTAATTATCCGGCAAGCACAGCACAATCTTTCACTGTGGCCATTATCTCAGGACTCCTCAAGTTACACCTTGACATAGTTTCATCACAGCAATGCCACAATCTCCACTACTCTCACTAAGGTCTCACTACTAGGATCTTGCTTGAATCTCCCTCAAGTCTTGCTGCCCAATGTGAGAAGTCCCACAGTTGTTGATGATTCATATGCCCATATGTCTACAGTTAAGGTAGCTGGAGACATAAATATTCCCTAATTTGCTTCATTTCTAAACTCTTTTTCTTACTTCTGTTATATGCCCTTGAAATACTTCGCACAACTCCCGAATTCAATATCAGCTACAAAACCATTTATTTTTTTTTAATTTCCATTCATTCATTGTTGTACTTTTCTCCCTGCCCACCTCTTCCCCTCAGTTTGCTCTCTCTTTGAAAAGTAATAGAAAAATTCTTTCATTGTTATACAATCCCTCCCCCCAGGTCCACTCCACTATGCAGCTTTCGTTCTGGACTCCTGTCATGACGATAATACCTAATCACATATCCCTTTTAAACAGTTCTCTCCCTCATCTGTTTTAATGTAGTATACATAATCTTTCTCAGTCTACCCCCAACCCTGATGTCGGTCCCCCTTTACAACAGTGGCATTATGCAGTATTTGTCCTTTTGTGACTGATATATTTCACTCTGCATAATGTCCTCCTGGGTCACCCATTTTGTATATTTCATTAGTTCCTTATTTTTCCAGTGCAGTATAGTATTCCATTGTGTGAATATACCCTAGCTTCTCTATCCATTTGTTTGTTGATGGGCACTTAGGTTGTTTCTAACTCTTTGCTATTGTGAACAAAGCCACGATAAACATGGGTGTGCATATATCTACTTGGGTGGTGGTTATGGTTTCTCAGGGATGTAATCCCTGTAGTGGAATTGCTGGGTCAAATGATATTTCTATTTGCAAGTTTTTAAGAAAGTGCCATACAGCCTTCCATAGTGGTTGCAACATTTTATGCTCCCACCAACAAGTGAATAAGGGTTCCAGTTTTTCCACAACCTCGTCAGCATTTGTTGTTTGCTTTTCTGTTAAATTTTGCTATTCTGAGTGGGGTGAGATGATATCTCATAGTTGTTTTGATTTGCATCTATCTCTCTTAGAGCTAGGGATTTTGAACATTTTTGTTTGTTTGCCATCTGAATGTCTTCTTTGGTAAAGTGTCTGTTCATATCCTGTGTCCATTTTTCAGTTGGGTTGTTTACTTTTATCTTGTTGTGATGAAACCCATGACTTTCTAATTTATGTCCTTGTTGGTAGTAGTTGTCGTTGTTAGGTACCCTGGAGTCAACTCTAACAACCTTATTAACAGCAGATTGAAAATTTGCTCTATCCTGTATATTGGCAGGATCCTTTATTTCAGTCACTGTAACAATGCACTGTTGAGAGTCATCTTCTCTTTTCACTGGCCCTCTACTCTTTAGGTGATTTATTTTACTCTTTTCTTGAGTTTTGCCTCTCCTAGCAACATGTTTGGGACATCATGCTTAGAAAGGTAGAGGGACTGCAAGAGAGAGGAAAACCCTCAGTCAGATAGATGCATTTCACAGTGACTGCAGCAGTGAGCTCATGTATGCCATAGATGATGAGGATGGCATAAAATACAACACAGTTCAGATCTGTTGTTCATCAGGTTGCTATGAGTCGTATTCATCTTGACAGCACCTAACAACAACTTGAGTTTTGTGTTTATTTGAAATTTTCTATAATTGGAAAATATTAAAAATAATTTCTATTTCTGATTCGTTTTTCTCCTCTGGGCCCCAGACACACTTATCCAGCTATCTGTCTAATATCGCTGCTTGAAACTGTCTCTAACATCTCACACCATATGGCTAGAATAAGACCAGATGCTTAAGCCAAAAGTGGATCTTAACTTCTACTTCTCTACATCAAATGTGTAGGAAGTCTTAAATTTCTACCTCTGAAAAAAAAATATCAAATCCATTAACCCTCTCACAGCTTTCTGCCATTTCCTAAGACCAAGTTACCCTGTCTGTTGCCACTTCACTTTTCTTATTATGTGCTGTCGAGTTGCCTGCAACTCATGGCAACACTATGCACCAGAGCTCTGAACCCTGCCTCTTCCTGAGCCAATCTCACTGACTCCGACACATGTACTCCCATTACCCTAGTTGCTATATCAGTCCATCTCATCTGGGATCTTTCTCTCCTGTGCTGTCCCTCCACCCTTCTAAGCGTGATGTTCTTCTCCAAAGATTGGTCACTTCTAGCCACATACCCATCCATGTGAGACAGAGTTTCAAACTCCTAGCCTCCAAGGAGAAACGATTTCTTCTTGACAGTCCATAGTTCAATATTCTTCTCCAGCACCACAACTCAAAGGCATCAGTTCTTCTTCTGTCATCTTTAGCCATTTTCTAGCTCTCTAATGCATAGCAAGTAACTGCAAAGACCATGGCCTGGATCAGGCACACCTTAGTCCCTAGACTGACATCATTGCTCTTTACCACTCTGGAGGGGTCCCTGACATCATATTTTCCTAATGCAGTTTGTCTTGTGATTTTGACTGCTTGTGCAAAGAATGTTGCTCAGTCTCTTCTCCATATATCATGGTACTGCCAATTGGCTCAGTGGTGAGAATCTTTGTTTTCCTGATGTTGAGCCCCAGTTCATATTGAAGGCTATAGTCCTTGACCTTCTGCAATAAACACCTCTGGTTCTTCTCAGTTTCAGCAAGCAAGGTTGTGTCTTCCTCCTATCCTGTTGACATACTTCAGTTCATAAAGTCCAGCCTCCTGAATGATCTGTTCCATATATAGACTGAAAATGTATAGAGACAGGAAGCATCTCAGATTCACGTTTTTCCTGATTTTGAACCATGTAGTGTTTCCTTGCTCTGTTCTGACAACTGCTCCCTGGCTTTGAAACCAAGTATAAGTTTTACATGAGGACAATCAAGTGTTCTGTGATTCCCACTTACTCTTACTCCCCAGCAATTTCTACTCATGATTCTTCAAATAAACACCACACCTCTGAGCACAGCTGAGATTCCAGAGTGGCCTAGCTTCATCTACCCTTGCCAATATTCATGTCTCTTTCTCTCTTCAAAGCCCACAGGATATTTAAAGACATAGCAGTCTTTGATCGCTTTCAAGTTGAGCACGACTCCTAGCAACCCTATGAACAAAAGGCCTGAAGAAGTAGGGAGGGACAAAGGTTTGTGTGTGGTCATTTTCTTGAACAACCTTCATGAAGAAAAGTTGTAAATTTCTATTCTTTATTTTTACAGCATTAGGAATGGTGCCTCCTCCAGAAAATGTGAGAATGAATTCTGTTAATTTCAAGAACATCCTACAGTGGGAGTCCCCTGCTTTTCCCAAAGGGAATCTGACTTACACAGCTCAGTTCCTAAGGTAGGTCTGGTGTGTGAGGATGGTGGTCCTGTGCCTGGCCCACAGGAAGGTTTTGACTGCCGGTCACATGATTTTAACAGCAGACGCCTTTTTCCTCTTGGACTTTTTCCATCTGCTCGGAAGATTCTTATGGACAGCTTTTCCTTTTCCTTTGTATTTTTGTTCATCACTTTACATCCAAAGGGATACAGAAAATAATGCCATGGTTAGGGCAAGATTCAGATCCATTGTTCATAGACTTGCTGGGTGGTGGTCGACTTGGCAGCACATAACCACCACAATAGCGTTGAATAATATCCCTGTCTGCACATCTGACACCCATCTTGTAGGCAAAATAACAACTCACAAATACAAGACAGACGCATTAATCTTTGACTGAATACTTTGTGGTTCTACATGACAATGACAACTGCACCCTCCCAGCTTTCCCTGATGAAAATTGATCTATGATGTGTTCAAAGTAGTTCTTTAGTCTCGTTCCTTCTTTCTACTTTCAGCAGATCAAAATCACATGGTTTGCCTTGACCCATATTGTTGTTATTGTCAGAAATTGACTTGACAACAGCGAGTTTGAGTATTTGGGATTTTTAATAATTATTTCTGTGCTATGAAGAACACTAAGAAGGTTCATAATCTGTTTACATTTCCCCCCCTTTAGATTGGAAGTTCAGAGTCAATATACTTTAGATAAGTTCTTTCATGGTTCCATCTGGTGGACTTTTTCTGTTCATTTGGAATAGCCAATTCATTTCTTTCTATTTGTAGTCCATTTTAGGAGTTTTCTTCCATCTTTGTTACTTTGGCTTTCTACTGTGTAAAACGCAGTAATTCAGTTCATTGCTGTGGAGTCAGAACTAACTCATAGGTGACCCTCAAGTGGGTTTTCCAAGGCTGCATATCCCACAGGAGGAGATTGTCCATCTTTCTCCCTCGGAGCCACTGGTTGATGCAGACTTTCAGGAGGGCCCGACCTTTGGGTTAACAGTGCAAGTAACTCCCTACAGAGGACACTGCCAAACTCAAATCTGTATGTAAAGGAAATCTTGGGATGATGTCATTCCTTCCTCTGCCCTCTGTGCCCATTCCCAGACCCCTATGCATGCTCAGTTTGGCTAGTTTCTCTCTCTCTCTCTCTCTCTCTTTCTCTCTTTCTCTCTCTGTACATTTTCAGAGTGATTAGTTTCTCTGTGTCTGTCGGTCTGTGTCTGTGCATGTGTACGTTTTCAGAGTGATTAGTTTCTCTGTGTGTGTCTGTGTCTGTGTGCGTGCATGTGTACATTTTCAGAGTGATTAGTTTCTCTGTGTGTGTCTCTGTGCGCGCATGTGTATATTTTCAGAGTGATTAGTTTCTCGCATGCGTGTGTGCACGCATGCGCGTGCATGTGTACATTTTCAGAGCTAAGCAGATACATGTATATTTTCTTATTTACTTTTTACCCAAAAACTAGCATAATAAATACACCTGTGTCTTGTATTTTTTTTCCACTTATGTTATTCTGGAAATCAGCCTTTATTAGTTTACAAAGATTTTCTTTGTTCCGTTTTTACAGCAACATAGTAGTCCGTTGAGTATGTGTATCACAGAGTATTCAGCCAATGCATAGTTTGTTCAGCATCTGCTTGTCCAGGTTTTCGTTCTTAGAGCAGGGCTCCAGTTAAGCACCTACACCACTTGCCAAGAATATAAGAGGATTTAGAAAGGGTCATTTTTCCAGGATATTTTTCCCTAAGGTGTGTTTCTTTTCATATTTCTTGTTTTTAAGGTGCAATGGTAGCACTCTGATGCTATCCAAATGTTCAGCACTTCTAAACCACCAGCCACTCCCCAGGAGAAAGAACAGGCTGCTTCCATAGGTTTACAGCCAGGTAGACTCTGAGGAACAGTCTACTCTTAGTCCTTTACAGTCACTAAATCAACTCGACAGCAAGGGTTTTGTTTCATCTTGGTTGGTTGGTTTTCATTTAATCTCTTAGTTTTGATAGCTCTAGAGATTTTGCTGAGGAAAGCTAACTTCTCTCTCTTGTGCCTTTCCCCTGTAGTGATTATGATGCTGCACCTAGCTCTTCTCCATTGTATGAGAGATGCTTGGTTTGGTTGGTTCATCTTGTAGACAAGAATTCCTAGTGACCTTGTGAAAAGATAAGGGCAAGAGGCAGTTATTAATCAGAAGTCAGTGCCTGGGTTCCCAGGGTTTCCTCAACGTGGAAATATAGACTGAGCAGGATATATTGGAGAAAACACAGCATGACTAGCTATGTCTTAGAGATGAAATGTAACCCCTAAACAGTTCATTACTTTTTTTATTTTTTATCAGTGTTAGAATACTATCTGACACATAAGTGCTCAGTAAATGTTGGTAAGTGGGAGTGGCATCCACTTCCTAAACAATATGCCTCTGGAAACTATGAAATTTGGCGTGTCCATAGTTGTAGAAGGGCTTCAGGCCTTTTGTTCATAGTGTCACTATGAGATGTGCTCGACTTGAAGGCAATAAAGAACAACAACAACAACAACAACATTTTTTTTCTTTTTTACCACCACCAAAGGCAGCTAAATTTGGAGATAATCTTAGCACCAAGAGAGAAATTAGTACTAGAGGAATCAGCCGTCTCACTTCTCACAAAATGAGACCTTGTTTTTTGGATCAGGTGTAGCTAATGACACCGCCTAAGGTTGTCATTATGTAAAACTTATGTAAGTGGATATTTACTCAACACCCAGGAAATGCTCCCAGGAGTCATGTCTTTTCTCCTCCTATTCCAGTTGCTGCCACCCTCCCTTCTTTGGTTAAAGGGGTAGGGCACAGCTAAAGATTTGAGCTTACTAAAGCCTCTTATTGTTCTGTTCTCCAACCACACCCCCAGAATATTGAAACAACAGTTATTTATATCACATTATTTGAGTGTCCATTCAGCCATAACGTTGTAATGTTTTGGTTAATCTATGTTTAGCAGTATTTCCCAAGACTGCCCTCAGAAATATACCATTAGAGGGTGATGTTTTCCTTGTTGCATATATTGAATACTAAATCTCTTTAGGGAGAAATCCATGCCTATTAAGAAAATAAAGTCTCAAGAGGGACCCTACTGTGATGGAACCCATTCACCTATCTTTAACACAGTATCCAAAAATTTTTAACCACACAATGGATTGTTTTGGAATGCATTACAATATCTCCAGGATCTCTAAAGTTTGTGGGATATAGTTTGAAAAATGTAAATAAGTATATTGTGGTTTGGTGCTGTAGATTTGGCTCTGACTCACAGACCTATTATAGAATGAAATATCACCTAGTGAGGAAGACCCTCACTGAGAGGGATTGATGCAGTGTCTGTAACAATGCATCAGTGGTGATGACAGTGCAGGACCAAGCATTGTTTCCTACTCTTGTACGTAGAATTGCTATGAGTCAGAATCAAACCTAGCAGCAGCAACAAATATTGTTGTTGTGCCGTCAAGTCGGAAATGACTCACAGCTGATCCTCCAGCAGGTTTCCAGAAGCTGGACACAGGAGGAGGCTGCCCATTGCTGTTCCTTGGAACAGCTGATGGATTAAAACCATGTGCTGTTCAGCAACAATTATCATTGTCAAAATTGTTGGCACATTGGAGTCCAGTGTTCGATCCACTGTGTCTGTCTATCTCATGGCCTGGGTGTGCCTGACTCAGTCTTTTCAGCCATCTGCCATGCATCTGACATTTGGACAATGAATAAGGATGACAGAGAATTAACGCCTTTTAACTACGATGTTGGAGAAGGGTACTGAATATCCCATGGACGGCCAAAAGAACAGAAATGTCTTGGAGAGGGTGGAGCCAGAGTGTTCCTTGGAGGCTAAGAATGATGAAGCTTTGTCGCACTACTTTGGACATATTGGTAGGAAAGGTTATTCCTTGGAGAGAGGCATTATGCTTGGGAAGGGGGAGGGACGGCAAAGGAGGAGAAGATCCTCAACCAATATTGGCATAGGGATTGCAGCAATGGGCTTGAGTGTGTCAGAGATTGTGAAGATGGCAAGGATAGGACAGGGTTCAGATTTGTTGTTCATAGAGTCACTATGAGTTGTACTCTACTGGACTGCTATCTCATGGATAGTTTCTGCTATTTTCGCTGACCGTTCACTCTACCAAACATTATGTCTTTTTTTTCTAAGTTATTAGACTTTCCTGATGCCATGTCCAAGTTGTTGTTATGTGCTGTCGAGTCTCTTGTGACTCATAGCAACCCTGCGTACAACAGCCCTATACCCTGCTCTATTCTGCACCAATCTTAATGTCTCTGACACACCTACCTCCATTACCCCAGTCACTGAGTCAACCCATCTTTTCAAGTGTCTTTTTCTCTTGCACTGTCCCTCCACCCTCCCAAGCATGATGTCCCTCTCCAAGGACCCTTCCCTTCTGGCAACATGTCCAAAGTATGTCAAACGAAGCTTCAGAATCCTTGCCTCCAAGGAGCAGCCTTGTCTTACCCTCTCTAAGGTGAACTTGTTTGTTCTACCTAGTCCATGATATATTCAGTATTCTTCACCAGCGCCAGAACTCAAAGGTGTCAATTCTCCTTCTATCATCCCTAGTTATTGTCTAGCTCTCTGACGCATAGCAAGTAATTGCAAAGACTATGGCCTGGGTCAGGCAAACCTTAGTTTCCAGACTGACATCGTTGCTCTTCAGTACTTTGGAGAGGTCTCTGATGGCAGAAATTAATTTTTAATTTCTTGGCTGCTGGTACCAAGAGTGTTTGTGGAACCAGGCAAACTAAAGCTGTTAACAATCTCAATCTCTTCACCATCTATCAAGATGCTGCCAATCAGCCCAGTGGTGAGAATCTTTGTTTTCTTGATATTGAGCTTCAATCCGGATTGAAGGCTGCAGTCCCTGAGCTTCTGCAGCAAGAGCTTCAGGTCCTCCTCAGTTTTAGCAAGCAGGGTTGTGTTATCTGCATAACACAGATTGTTGATGAATCTTTCTCCAATCCTGATGCCACTTTTCTCATCATAGAGCCCAGCCTCCCGGATTATCTGTTCCACAAAAAATTGAAAAGATAGGACATATCCCTGGTGTACAATCTTCACAATTTTGAACCACACAGTGTTTCCTTGCTCTGACTGCCTCCTTGGTTTTGCATAAGCATGATCAAGTGTTCTGGGATTCCTATTCTTCTTAGAGTTAGTCACAGTTTGTTGTGGTCTACACAGTCAGATGCCTTTGCATAGTCAATGAAACACAGATGGACAGTCCACTCATACTCCCTGCTTTCAGCCAAGATCCTGCTAACATATATCCCTAGCACCAAGGCCTCTCCTAAACCCAGCCTGCACTTCTGACAGTTCTCTGTTGATGTGCTGTTCCAGTTGTTATTGGGGTAATCTTCAGCAGAATCTTGCTTGCATGTGATATTTAATGATACTGTTTGATAATTTCCACACTCTGTTGGGTCACCTTTCTTTGGAATGGCAGCATATATAGATCTCTTCCAATCAGTTGGCCAGGTGGTTGTCCTTCAGATTTCTTGGCACATCTTGATGAGCACGCCCAGAGCAACATCTGTTTGTTGAAATATATCAATTGATATACCATCAATTCCTGGAGCCTTGTTTTTTGCTAATTTTTTCAGAGCAGGTTGAACTTCCTTCATCACCACAGGCTCTTGCTCATATGTTGTTTCATGAAGTTCTTCTGTGTCTGCCAATTCCTTTTAGTACAGTGACCCTGTATACTCTCTCCATCTTCTTTTAATGCTTCCTAAATCATTCAATATTCTGCCCAAAGTATCTTTAAGTATTGCAACTCAAGGCTTGAATTTGTTCTTCAGTCCCTTAAGATTAAGAAATGCTGAGCGAGTTCGGCCCCTTTAATTTTTCTGACTCCAGCTCTTTGCACATTTCATTATAATACTTTATTTTGTCTTCCCTCACTGCCCTTTGAAACCTTCTGTTCAGCTCCCTAATATCTTGATTTTTCCCTTTGCTTTGGCTTCTCTGTGCTCTATTGCAATATTCATAGTCTCTTCTGACATCCATCTTTCTCTTTTCTTCCTGCTCTGTCTTTGTAATGACATTTTGCATTCTTCATGGATGATATTCTTGACATTCTCCCTCAGCTCATCTGGTCTTCGCTAATTAGTGGTCATGGCCTCAAACCTGTTCCTGAGATGGTATTGAAATTCATTTGGGATAGACTCAAGATCATATTTTGGTTCCCATGGAATTGATTTAATTTTCCTTAGCTTCAGCTTGAATTTGTATATGAGTAGTTGGTGGTTTGTTCTACAATCAGCACCTTGCCTAGTTTTCACAGCTGATAATGAACTTCTCCAGCAGTTCTTTCACAGATATGATCAGTTTGATTCCTATTCATACCATTAGGTGAAATCCATGTGTATAGCCTGTGTTTATGTTTCTTATAAAACTTATTTACAGTGAATAAATCATTGATTGTGCAACATTCTATCATCCTATCTCCAGCTTAATTTCTTTCACCAAGTTCATGTTTTCTAACTACTGATTCTTCTTTTCTGTTCCCAACTTTTGCATTCCAGTCACCCATTATTATCAATGTATCCTGATTTCATGTTCGATCGATCTCTGACTGCAAAAGTTTGTAGAAATCTTCTCTTTCCTCTTCTTTGGTTCTGATTGTTGGTGCAAATATCTGAATGATAGTGGTATTCACCGGACTTTCTTGTATGTGTTTGGATATTATCTTGTCACTCACAATATTGTATTTCAAGATATATTGCTTTTTTTAATTATGAAAGCAGCCCCATTTTTTCTTACCTTTTCATGTCCAAAGTCAGTCAGAAGTCTTCCTATCCTTGCATCTGAGGAGCATTCTGGTTATACTTCAGATTTGGTGTTATTTTTCTCTCATCATTATTCATCAGCCTTTGGTATCAGTGAGAATAAAGAATCTGTCAACCTCAGACTAGCAATACAACTCCCATAATTTTTTGTTTTGTTTTGTTTTTGTAGTTATAACAACTTTCAAGATAAATGCAACAGCACTACCTTGACAGAATGTGATTTTTCAAGTATTTCCAAGTATGGAGACCACACCTTGAGAGTCAGATCTGAGTATGCAAATGAGCATTCTGACTGGGTAGTTATCACCTTTTGCCCTGTGGATGACAGTAAGTAATTTTGTTTTCCATTTCATTATAATATGTTTCCTTGGCTTTCCCCCACTGGTTCGTTCATCAACAAAAATATCTTGAGTACCCACAAAATACATACCTTGCCTAAGGAGTTTAGGGAAAACAGCACCATGATAGCTGGAGAAGAGATTGAGGTTTTAACAATTTCAGCTTGCTTGGTTCCACAATCAGAACTCTTGGCACCAGCAATCAGGAAATCAAGAAAAGAATTGCATTGAGGAAATCTGCTGTCAGGGATCTCTCCAAAGTGCTAAAGAGAAATGATGTCAGTCTAGAGATTAAGGTGTGCCAGATCCAGGCCATGGCCTTCACAGTTACTTGCTATGCATCAGAGAGCTGGACAATGACTAAGGATGACAGAAGAAAAATCAATGTCTTTGAGTTATTGTGCTGGAGAAGAGTCTTGAACATACCATTGGCCACCAAGAGAACAAACAGGTCTGTCTTGGAGAGGGTGAAACCAGGTTTCTTCTTGAAGGCAAGGATTTTAAAGCTCCATCTCACATACTTTAGGCACATGGCCAGGAGGGACCAGTCCTTAGAAAAGGACATCATGCTTGCAAGGGTGGAGGGACAGCACAGGAGAGGAAGACCCTAGATGAGATGGATTGACAGAGTAACTGGAAAAACGGAATTAGGTGTGTCAGAGTCAGTGAGACTGGCTCAGGATAGGGAAGGATTCAGAGCTGTTGTACACACACAACTCGATGACACATAATAGCAACAACGATAAAGAGAATTATGGCTTTAAAGAAGTTCATGGGGGAGATAATAAGGACACCCTTAATACTCTTACAGTACAGCAAGGTAAGTACATTTTAAAACATCAGAATAGTTTAAATTAGTTCCTCAGATCACAATGCTATGAAGTTATAAATCAATAACAGGAAGAATAAGAAAAAAATATGTGGAAATGTAATAATACAGTTTCATGGATTGAATTGAATCCTTCAAAAATAATGTATTTACTTGAGTGTACCATGATTCTGTGTTTTGAGTGTAATGATATAATGTGACAGTAATGTAATGATTCCTGCATGATCTGGTAAGTCAATCAATTGTGAGATTATTAAAAACAGAACATCTCTAATGTGTCATAAGGAAGCTCTGGTGGCATCATGGCACGAAGCTGTGCTACAGTCCTGAAGGCATGTAGTTCAAGGCCGCCAGCTGCTCCATGGGAAAAGGATGAGCAGTTTCTTCCCATGCAGCTAACTGCAGTTGAAAACCCACAGGGGTCAGCTATGAGTTGGTTCCACCTCGATGGTATACCACCGCCACAACAATGTGTATTAACCCTGATGCCATGTAAGGGGAGTTCCCTTGGGGTGTGGTCTACTATGATTTTTATGTTAGAAAAGATAAAGGGAGAGAGAAGTGGGAAGAAGGAAAGAAGCCTCAGTATCATCAAGCGAAGAGCCAGAGAGGAGCAAGTCCTCTGGACCCAGGCTATTTTGCTAGAAATCACCTTAACCCAAGGAAGTCCACATCTTATAGAAATCCCCAAAGGGATACCCGGCTTAACGTTGTTGAAAGGAGACAATGATCTTCTTCCAGAGCTGACAGAGAAACTGCTCCCTTAGAGCCAGGATCCTGGGCTTGTCACCCCTTAAACTGTGAAAGAATACATTGTAATTTGTTAAAGTCATCCACTTGTGGTATTTCTCTGTAGCAACACTAGATAATGAAGATAAACACTCTGCTTTGAAAAGATGTACAATAGAACAAATAATAAGTGACTTAAAAATAAATTCTAAAATTAAGTAGGAATGAAACTACAACCATATGGAATAAAATAGATGAATGGTACCATCTAAGAATCAAATCCTATGCACATCAAAAAACTTCTGCAGCAGGGTAATAAGGAAACCCACAGACTTGGGAAAAATATTTGGGAATGATATGTCTGATGAGGGACTCATCTGAAATTTATAGAATACTCCAGAACCTCAACACGAAAAATGTAAGCAATCCCATCACAAAATGGGCACAGGGTATGAATAGACACCTCACCAAAGAGAACATTCAGATTGCTAACAAACACATGAAGAAATGTTCAAAATTCCTAGCTATCAGAAAGATGCAAATCAAAGTGACTATGAGATACCATCTCACCCCAGCAACAGTAGGCAGCAAACAGCAAATGCTGGCGAGGTTGTGGAGAGATTGGAACTCTTTTTTTTATTGCTGATGAAAATGTAAAATGGTACAAGCACTCTGGATGGTGGTCTGGCACTTTCTCAGAAAGCTGGAAATAGAAATATAATTTGACCCAGCAATTCCATTACTTGGAATATACCTTAAAGAAACCAGTACAACAACTCAAAACAGATGTATGCACATCCCCGTTTAGTGCTGCATTATTCACAATAGCAAAAAGATGAAAGCAACCCAAGTGCCTATCAACAAATGAATGGATGGAAGAACAATGGTACATCCACACAAGGGAATACTATGCAGTGTTGAAAAACATTACAAAACATGGAGGAGCCTTGAGGGCATTATGCTAAGTGAAATATCTCAGTCCCCTAGTAATGCTCTTCTACAATAGGAGAGGCATGGAGGGGTTTGGAGAGGAAATGAGGAAGGGGTAGATAGATAATAAACACTGCATTGGAACATATGAGAAGAACAGTTTTAAAGGAATATATGATTATGAATTATACATAAGAAAACATTCTGGAACAAAGGGGCCATTGCAGAGTGGGCAGGGGAGGCAGAGGGGGAGCAGGGAGAAAATGTGCAACAATTAATAAATTTAAAAAGATAAAGCAGGAGTAATAGGTAACACAAGGTAACATACCTTTGAAACACAGCAAAAACTGTGCTCAGAGGTCAGTTTATAATAATAAGCACACTCATCAGGAATAAAAGGGGGGGAAAGGAACTGAAATTAACCTTAACTCATTAATTGCAAAAATTAAAAAAAAAGAGTGAGAGGGAGAGTAGGGAGAAGGCTATCAGAAGAAAGAAAATAATAAGGATTAGAGCAAATAAACAGAAAGACAATAGAATCAATAAGATTAGAAAAGGACTCATAAACCACACACAATTGAACAAAGAAAAAGGAGAGTATATAAATATCACAAATAAGAAATTAAATGGGTAGTATTATAATAGACTGAATTGAAATAAAAAGAATAATAAATGAATACTCTGGTGGCCTGTTTGAGGCCACCAGCTGCTCCACAGGAGGAGAGGCAGTCTCCTCCCTTGTGATAACTGCCTGTGAAAACCTGCCAAAGAGTCACCTGTGGGTTGGTTCCAAGTCTTCAGTACATAATAACAGCAGGAAGAACTATAAAGGAGCTCTGGTGGCCTAGTGGCAAGGAAAAAATCAAAGTGTGCCACCAAAATCAAAGACACATTTTGAATCCACCACTATACTGGAGGGGAAAAGTGAGCAATCTCCTCCCATGTAATGTACTGCTCTGAAATCCCATTGGAGGGTCAGCTATGGGTCAGTTCTGACTTGACAGTACTAACAGTTCTGGCTTGACAGAACTAACAACAGTGTAGAACAATTCACCAAAAATTTTGCCAACTTAGAAACAAATTTCTAGAAACTTACACCTTAGTTAAACTAACACAAACAGATGTAGAAACTTTGAATGGACTTAGAAGAAAAAAGTTGAGAGACTATTAAATAAAATAAAGACATCTCCTGGCCCAGGCTTCATTGGGAAATTCTATCAAATATTTAGAGAAGAGCTGACACCAATTCCACTTAAACTGTTTGGAACATAGGAAAGAATTAAACACACCTAAATTCATTCTATGAAACAAACACAACTCCCACCCAAAAATCAGCCAACTCAACTCAACTCTCATTGCTGCCTCAGAGCTGCTGGTGTTTTAGAATTCAGAGAGCCAGAGACAAAGCCTCTGTGTTAACAGTGTATGTCCCTACAGACTCATAATCAGAGCTTCCTCAAGCCAGGCAAAGACATAACATACACACAATTTGTATCTTATATCCTTCATCAACATTTATGTAAAAATGCTGAACAAAATCCTAGTCTATAGATCCTAGTCTCTGGTGCTGTAGTTCGTAGGGAATTGCAGTGCTAGCCCAAATGTAGTAACTTTCTGACAGTTGAATCCACCAGCAGCTCCACAGGACAAGGTTGGGCAGACTCTTGTGTGATTTCCAGCTTCCGTAAACCTACTGGAGGGCCAGCTATTAATCATTTCCAACTCGATGGAAGTGAGTTTGAGTATTTTGAAATGTGATTCATACAAAGAAGGAGACACATTGCACTGGGAAAATCTGCATTTAGGGACCTGTCCAAATTATTAAGGAGTAGTGATGTCAGTTTGAGGACTAAGGTGCATCGGATTGTGGCCATTGTCTTTCCAATTACTAGCTGTGCATCTGAAATCTATCCAATGAATAAGGATGACAGAAAAAGAATTGATGCCTTTGAGCTGTGGTATCAGAGAAGAGCACTGAACATCCCATGGATGACCAAGAAAACTAATAGATAGATATGTCTTGGAGAGGGTGCAACAAGAGTGTTCTTTGGACATATTCCTAGATGGTTCTATTCCTTGGGAGAGGGACATGATGTTGGGAAAGGTGGAAGGTCAGCAAAGGAGAGGAAGACCCTCAACCAGGTGGATTGACATGGTGACTGCTGCAGTGGGCTCTTGTGTGTCAGGAAGTGTGAGGATGGCATGGACAGCACGAGGTTCAGATCTTTTGTTCATAGGGTTGCTATGAGTCGTACTTGACTCGATGGCACCTAACAACAACATGCAAAAATTGTTTAAAACAGTATCATTCACTACATAAATATAAGAAGGGAGATAACCCTACATAATATCAATTGATACAAAAGGAGCATTTTACAAAAGCCAGCTTCCATTTCTTGACTGTAAAAAAGGAAGATGAATCCGCCAGATGCTCTGCCGGGGAAGGAGGGGCAATCTCCTCCTGTACCAGTCAGATCTAATTTGACGGTACACGCACACAAAAATTAAAAAAGAAAAAGGAAGATGAAAACAACCTTAGTAAAATAGAAAGGAAATTTTACAATATAATTAAGGGCATATACACAAAATCAATAACCAGCATTATTCTTATTTCCCATGGGAATGAGAAACAAATACCTCCTATACTATCACTCTTAATATCATACTAAAAGTCCTAGTCACAAGAATAAGGCAAGAAAGGGAAACAAGACAGATATCTAAGTTGATAAGGAAGAAGTAAAACTATCCTCATTTTGCAGATATGATCCTATATATTAAAAAAAATTACAAAGATTCAATTAAAAAGTTACAGAAACTAATAGAAAAATTTATCTAAAGTACAGGGTACAAGGTAAACAAAAAAAAAGTCACATCCCTCTACATTAACAGAATTCTTAAAAAAGTAAATCAAGAAAGCAATACCTTTGCAAAAACTGTTGGGAAGCTAAAATACTTAGGAACAAACTTAACCAGAAATACAAAAGACATACAAAGCACTACTATAATACACCAAAGAAATCTGCATAAAAAGCATACCATGCACGTAGATAGGAGGATTTAACATTGTGAAATGTCCATACTAAAAAGCATGCGGGTTTTAGATAGAACGTAATCCCAATCCAGATTGCCATCAACATTCTTTGAAGAGATGGAGAAAAATTTATCACCCTTTATTGGAAGGGAACTAAACCCAAGCTTACAGTCAGTTCTGATTTCATAGCAATCCTCCATCACATTTTCAAGGCTGTAAATTTTTAAGCTACTCCCTTGGAGTAGCTGTTGGACTCAAACTACTGACCTTTTATTTGCAGCCCAGTATGTTGTTCACTACATCACTAGGGCTCCTATTTTTGTTCTGTTGTTTATAAAGTTACTAAGAGTCATAGTCAACTCAGTGGTACCTAACAACAACAATTTATGGTATAGTCTATCAAGATAACTATAAATATACAAATAACAGAAGATAAACTAAATGATTGAGGCTTCCTAAAAATTTAGCACTTTTTGTGCATCAAAATACTTCCCCAAAAGAGAGAAGAGAAAACCTACAGATTTGAGGAAAATATGACATTGGACTAATTTCTAAAGTTTATAGAAAAATGTCAACATCTCAGCAATAAAAAGACAAACAACCTAGTTTTTAAAATGAGCCTAGGACAGCAGACACTTCACCAAAGAAGCTATTCAGACAGCCAACAAACATGAAGAAATGCTTGTGTATCATTAACCATTAAAGAGAGGCAATAACTCTGAGATACTATTTCTCCCTAACAAAAGCGGCACAAATTTTAAAAAAGAAAAATCAAAAATAACACATGTTGGGAAGATAGACTGTGCAGAGCTTGGACCTCTCAGACCCTGTTGGTAGAAATGTAACGTGATGACACATTATAGAAAATGGTATAACACATCCTTGAAAAGCTGAAAATAGAGATACGATATGACTCAGTAATCCCACTACTAGCAAAGTAAGATCTGTAACACAAATAGATATGCACAACAGCATCCTGCTCATCACAGCATTTATTCACCATTGCAAAAAGATACAAACAACTAATTTTCACAAAGTTATGTTGAGTAAACAAGCTGGTTCATACATACAAAGGAATACTATGCAGTGTTAAAAACTAACAGTGAATCTGCTAATCACCACACTCGATGCATAGGTGAACCTGAAGGATGTTGGTGAGTAAAATAAGTCAATCACAAAAGGACTAATATTGTACAAAGTCAGTATTTTAAAAAGGCAAGAAAAGGTTTGCCAACAGAACTATTCTTTGATGGTTACCTGGGATGGAAGAAGGAGGGAGAGAAAAATCACTAAGTAGAGAGTAGAAATGTATTAGTGAGGGGAAAGGCAATGCACGGTAAGGGGGAGGTCAGCACAATATGAACAAGGCAAAGGAAGGCATTTGGGGATGCACAAGAACAAAAGACAATAGTGATAATCACATACACAGTCCTACAGTCACAGTATAAAAACATTTATGGTTGGATACATAGATAACCAGCTAAACAGACATGGGATGGCAAATGATATTATACCCACAAGTATTCCCTGGGGAATACCTCTACATATCTGTGCTGCAAATGTGCCTTTGTATATAGTTGTTGTTGTACCATCGAGTTGGAACTGACCCATAGCTGACCCTCCAGTAGGTTTTCAGAGGCAGTTAATCTCACAAGGGGAGATTGTCCATCCTTCTCCTATGGAGCAGCTGGTGGATTTGAACCACATTTCTTCAGGATTGCAGTGCAGTAGGTTAAGTGCTAGGCTGCTAACCAGACGGTTGACAGTTCAAACCCAGCAGGAGAAAAGGGAGGCATTCTCCTCCCATTAAGAGTTATAACCTTGGAAACGCCATAGAGGGTCATCAAGAATCAGACTTGAGAGCAGTGGGTTTGGATTTGTTTTGTTTTACATGGGACAGCATTACAAAAACTTCTTACCTATAATAAACACATTGAAGGACTGAGTCACTAGCTTGGAGATTCAGGACCATACAGTCTCAGGAGACATCTAGATCAATTGATGTACATAGTGCACAATGATAGTGCTTTACGATAGTGAGTAACAACTGGCTTTTAGACATTTTAAATCTGAAGTTGAACCACCCCTGGAGATCACCTTTCATCCAGACAATGGGCCTACAAAGTGAAGAATAGCACCCTTGAGGAACATTCTTCTAGGATCGTTTATTGAACAGTCAACCAGATGAGACCTGAAGGAGAGTGTTTACCCTACGAAAAGATTCAGAAGTCAGGAATGGACAGGAGTAGTAAGAAGAGATGAAGAAGCTCCACTCCATCCCCACTCTTCTAAAAGGCTGTTTTTAAACAGAAACACAAACTATGGTTACAATAATTTCAATTCTATAAGAAGGAACAATAAACACAAATGAATTTAATTCCATTAATGAAAACAATCACTGTGAGATTTTTTTTATAAGAATAAAATTCAGCTAGAAGAATCAATGCCTTTGAAGTACAGTGTTAGAGAAGAATACTGAATATCCCATGGACTGTCAAAAGAACAAATGGGTCTGTCTTGGATAAAGTCCAAACAAGGTGCCCCTTAGAAGCTAAGAAACTTTATCTTGCATACTTTGGGCATGATGTCAGGAGGGACCTTTCTTTGGAAAAAGATATCATGCTGGGAAATAGTGGGAAAGGTAGAGGATCAGGAAAAGAGAGGAAGACTCTCAACAAGATGCATTGACATGGGCTTGAGCACATCAGATATCATGAAGATGGTACAGGATAGGGCAAGGTTCAGATCTGTTTTGTGTATGGTCGCTGTGAGTCATCATCAACTCAGTGGCACCTGACAACAGCTGCAGCGTTCTCCTTAGCCACATAAATCAGTGTCAGAGCAATGGTGTATTGCAGAGTTGTGTGCTTCAAGTACTTCACATAGAGGAAAAAAATGTGTCGCAATTGAAAGTTGTAATTGTGATTGTGACTTTTTATTGTTATTTTGCTCTCTTCTCTTGCCTAGCCCTTATTGGACCTCCTGAAGTGAAAGTCGAAGTGGTTGCTGATTCATTACATTTACGTTTCTTAGCCCCTAAAGTTGTGGGTGAACCTGAAACATGGACCATGAGGAATATATATCCCTCATGGGTTTATAATGTCCAGTATTGGAAAAATGGTACAGAAAAGGAGGTAAGCTTCATTGATCATATATTTTGGAAGTTCCTGTGCTCTTTGCTGAGTTTGCCATGATAATGGGAAGAGGAGGCAAAGGGGCTGTTCCAGGCAGGGTTTTGAAAGGTGACAACATCTTGTGGCTCACAGAATCAAAGCCTGGCCCTCTGAACGCAAAAAGCTCTCTAGTCCAGGAGATGATCTCAGCTCAGGCCTCTAGACTCCTGAGGGAGAAGCACAGAGCAGACTTCTTTTTTTTTCTTAAAGTGCTAGTTGCTGAGTGAAGGCAGAGCTCTCTTTATCTGAGGGAAAGTTTCCAGAGAAGACAGAGCAGAGTCCACAGCTTACAAAAGGGGCTTAGGGCAAGAATAAACGGAAGGACTGCTATTTCATCATACAACCTTGATGTCCCATGAATTACACAGGTCAGTTCTGTCTGGGTGAGGGTAGCTCATATCTGAACATGGGATGAACAATAAGGCATTTTAAATCTGGGCTGTCCCTCATTGCTATCCTCTCCAGGGGTAAGTTTTCAATTTGGGTTGGTTTTTTTTTATGTGAGCTTGACTCTTCTGGAAAAAAGTTTCCCATTCCAGGATTTTTCTCATGCTCATTGCTGTAATAAATGACCCAAATGTAAAAAAAAAAAAAAGCATGATTGTGATGTTGCTTCTGCCACTGTGTGATGCTGGTCAAATTCTTGGCCTCTGCTCCCTTGGGTCTGTAGAGTGGGCATAATAACCCATTTCATTAATAAAATGAGAATAATGGTCTACTTCATAGGATCATTTGTGAGAAGTTAATAACATAGTGAAAGAAATAAACATGTCCCATTGATTAGAACTCTGTGTGTGTGTGTGTGTGTGTGTGTGTGTGCGCGCGCGCGTGCGTGTGCACAAAGTTCCCTTTTTATGCATCTTAAAGCTATAATCATTCATCTGTGGTCAGATTTTGTTCTTACACTTGGTCATTCATGGTCCTAAATTTATTTTTATATATACATATAACCAGACTGTTCCTTGGAGGCAAGGATTCTAAAACTCTGTCTGACATACTTTGGGCATGTTGCAAGAAGGGACCAGTCCTTGGAGGGGAACGTCATGCTTGGAGGGTGGAGGGACAGCACAAGAGAAGAAGACCCTGGATGAGATGGACTGGGAATAGGGATGGGTGTGTCAGAGATAATGAGGTTGACACTAGATACAGCAGGGTTCAAAGCTGTTGTATATAGGGTCACTATGAGTCACAAGTGACTCTATGTTCCCCACATTAAATTTTATTTATTACTTAATACTTGAGACTTCTCCTATGAGGAGAAGTGTGGCGTCAGAATTGGTGGAAGATCTGTCAACAATCTGTGTTATGCAGATGACACAACCCTGCTTTCTGAAACTGAGGAGGACCTGAAGCACTTGCTGCTGAGGGTCAAGGACTGCAGCCTTCAATATGGATTGAGGCTCAATATCAAGAAGACAAAGATTCTCACCGTTGCAACAATTGGCAGCATCAGGATGGATGGTGAAGAAATTGAGATTGTTCACAGCTTTAGTTTGCTTGGCTTCACAGTCAACACTCTTGACACCAGCAGCCAGGAAATTCAAAGATGTATTGTGATAGGAAAGTCTGCTGTTAGGGACCTCTCCAAAGTACTGAAGAGCAGTGGCGTCACTCTATAGACTAAGATGTGTGTGCTATAGGTCATGGTCTTTGCAATCACTTGTTATGTGTCAGAGAGTTGAACGATGACTAGGGAGAATAGAAGGAGAATTAATGCCTTTGAGCTATGGTGCTGGAGAAGTGTATTGAGTGTACCATGGACTGCCAAGAAAACAAAGAGATTCATCCTGGAGAGGGTTAACCAGGCTGCTCCTTGGAGGCAAGGATTCTGGGGTTTCGTCTGACATACTTTGGACATGTTGTGAGGAGGAACCAGTTTTTTTGAGAGGAACTTCATGCTTGGGAGGGTGGAGGAACAGCGCAGGAGGGGAAAGCCCTCTATGAGGTGGATTGATTCAGTGACTGGGTAATTGGGATGGGTGTGTCGGAGGCAGTGCAATTGGCACAAGATAGAGCAGAGTTTAGGGCTGTTGTACATAGGGTCGCTATGAGTTGAAAGCGACTCGACAGCACATAACAACAACAACAACAACTCGAGACTTTTGAGAGGAAAGAATCACCCATGTTTCTTTTCTTAGAAATGTATAATTAAATTTATATGTACACAATATGTAGCCTAAAAAATTGTCAAGATTTTTTTTATTTTCAAAAATATTCCATTAAATAATGCAGAATATCTGCATTCTTCACAGAATGGAAAATTTGGCTATAGGAAAATCTCTGGAAATAAATGCCTTGAAAGCATTCCAGAATGGTTAATTTCCTAATCACATTATCATATGTAGTTCCTTTTTTAAAAATTATTAAATTTTATTAGTTTTAATGAACATTTACAGGGATTTTGGGTTTTCATTCCTTCATTGCTGAACCATTCTCTCTACCCTCCTCCCCAGTTACAGGTATGTCTACTAAGCCCTAGGATCTGCGGATAAGACAGGGTTACCTTTCCATGACCTGAACCTCAGATATCCTGCCTGATGCCTCCTGGACCAAAAGTGAAATGCATGACTCGTTTTATGTTTAGACTCTTATCTAGAATATGCCTAATCATGGGCATCTTGTTACATATTTGTTCTATCGCTTTACCCTCAGTTATGTAGAAGTCTTTGGTGTGACTTGCGGAGTGCTGGACAGGTCTCTTGCTGAATAACTCCTGGCTGGTGCCTGCATTGTCACCATTCCTGTGGCTTCCTTCTGGAATGGAAACATTCATAACACGGTGCTGTGTTAGAGCTAAACTATTAGCATAGGAGACTCTTGGAAATCCTGGGTCTACTTGCTAGGAGAAAAGTGATAAGATAAAATCAGACAGTTCATTGAGGAAAGAAGAGGAGGAAGGGACGCTTGAGGATGTGTCACTTTACGTCTTTGGTACTTTTCTTCCCTGAAGGCCATTATAGATCTGCCTGTGAGTTTGGTCTTTGAAAGAATAACCTTAGTAGGTTTTAGAAATATTAGATTACTAGAAATGAAATTGAAAGACAAATTACATTAGGAAAATCTGCTGTCAGGAACATCTCCAGAGTGCTGAAGAGCAATGATACCAGACCAAGACTAAAGTGTTCCTGATCCAGGCTGTAGTTTTCACAGTTACTTGCTATGCAACAGAGAGCTGGACAATGACTGAAGATGACAGAAGGAATGAAGCCTTTGAGTTGTGGTGCTGGAGAAGAGTATTGAACATTCCATGAACTGCCAAGAGATCGAATAGGTCTATCCTGGAGAGGCTGAAATAAAACTTTTCCTTGGAGGCAAGGATTTTGAACTTCCGTCTCATGTACTTGGGGCATATTACCAGGAGGGACCAGTCCTTGGCGAAGGACATCATGCTTGGAAGGGTGGAGGAACAGCACAGGAGAGAAAGACCCAGATGAGATGGATTGATGCAATAGCTGAGGTAATGAGGGTAGGCGTGTAAGAGACAGTGCGATTGGCTCAGGATAGAGCAAGGTTTAGAGCTACTCTGCTATAAGTCATAGTTGACTCGACAGCACATAACAACAATAACAAATGAAAGTCAAAGTTTGGTTGTGAAATATATTTTGTCTGTTCAATGTTATAACTTATTCTTCATGTATCCAATAGGTCAGAGTCTCATCTGACATCCATCTTGGTTTTTTCTTCCTCCTCTGTCTTTG